AAAAAAGTACCTTCCACCTACAAGGAATAACAGGGGTAATAGCAGTGAAATAATACAAATTTTTGCCATTTGAAAACTTCAAATATTTTTTTTCTCTATTAACCTGTTAATACCATCCTCCAAGTTCTGCCAAGATTGTTTGTTAGTCCTTAGTCTGCTTCAGACTAAATTGGCTGAATCAGCTTAGATTACCTTTGCTGACTTTTTCTTCCTTTAGCTTTGCCTGACATGGATTAGGAAGCACTGCGTGATCTCTTCGTAAAATAACTTGGGGCAGCATATCTCCAATTAATAAAAAAAGGGTATCTGTTCACAGCCTTGGTGTAAGACTATGTTTCTGTGTAGCTTTACATATACTAAACATAGATGGAATAGAACCTAATGGTAGAATGCATTTACTTTTTTTTTTTTTTTTTTAAATTATACTTCTTGGAGATGGCTGTCTTTAGTAATTCTTGGTTATACTACACAGGAAAGTTCGAATACCTAAATCCCACCTATTAGAAATTGGTTTTATCCAGAATCTTATAAGGAAACCTATGAAGGCAGATAACTTTCATTTAAATCCTTCATTATTTAAGGATATCAGTGTTCCCAAAGAGACTTGGTATTGGCTAGAACCTGAAGATGAAGACAAAAAGGATGAGGAAGACAAGGAAGATGAAAGCACAAGCTCAGACTTAAGTGTAAGTTCTACAACTAAATCAATGGCTTGATTAAGAATTAAATTTAATGCTCCTTGTAAAAATACGTCTGTACACATACATGTATAAAGGACATATGTATACATGTCATTTTCCAAGCTGTGGTGAATGGCTTCTTTGCAATCTTAGAGCAGTGACTTTTAGAGCAGTTACGTGATAAAATAGGAAACATTGAATCACTGATTTATCAGTCATCTGTTTTGAAGTTGATCTTTGGATCAGCCTAGAAGTCAAATGCTAAACTTTTTTTTTTTTAAGACTAGAATACATAGCTTTTGTTAGCTTTATATGTTTGATTTGCAAAGATTGAGTGTGAAAAATTCCACCAAGATACCATATGTTTGAAATAAGGTAGCGCGATAATATATTTTAGCGCTCTTCAGTGCCAAATTCTAAGTTGGAAAGAAGAGTGAGCAAACAGCAGCCATTAACTTTACAGAAATCATGAATTCCTGTACCACATACTGCAAATCTGGGAAACTTCATGCCTTAGCAACAGTATTGTGTAACTTCTCCACAGCAGAAGGTTAAACAATCTATTTTATCAAAGCTAGTAGCTCAGACTGTTTTGTCACGTGAGCCCCAGGTCATTGCATACCTGTATGTATCTCTAGGTATCAGAAAAGCTACATGCCCTGACTGCCTATCTGAGAGAAGAACACTTCTATTGCATTTGGTGTGGAACAACCTATGAAGGTGAGAGAAAACCTGTCTCGGAAGTGTTTTACCTTGCTTATGCAGCTAGACTCAGATAATACAATATAGCCTTTACATTTCTCTTATCACAGTCTTTGAAACCTACACAGCAAATTTGCCTTCTAGGCTGCTTAGTTTTCTATGTTTTGATTATAAGCCAATTTTTAGGTGTTTACGTGTACAGAGAAAAAAAAAAAAAAACTAAAACAAACAAAAGCCAAACAACCACACTGGCATTTATTTGTATTGGTAATCATATTAATTTTGTTTTTTAAAAACAAAATTTAGGTTTTAAAACTGGTACCATAAAAAGCTGCAAAAGTTTGCACATCACTGAAACAGAACACTGCACAATTTCACTGCACCAAAGAGGGTAGAATTTGGGCTCACTGTTTCGAAACAAATTGTGGGATTAATAATTTTCAAACCTTATGGAATTCTATTTAATCTGCTTCACATGGATTCTTCAAATAATTCTAGCAACCTTGGGTTTATTTCCCTACCTCTGAGCTGGAATTACTCACTTCTTCTCTGATTATTCTGTAGACTCTGAAGATTTATCTTCCAACTGCCCTGGAGACAGCGCTGCAGATCATGACTGAAGCCTTTCTAAAGGGAGCAGTCCTCGATAAGTACGTAGAGTTCAAGGTATCTTCGAAGGTTCAGAGCTGTGCCATACTGAAGAATTCACACCACAGCATGCACAAAAATAGTTATGTTGACAGGCTAAACTCACATTTCTGAAGCACCTTGGGGATTTTCTGCTTGATGCACAATTTAATAAGAATTAAAACTTTGCATCTATAATTGAACTACTCTGAGAAGCAGCTTAAGCCTTCCACAGTCTTTGGTTATTCCCTCCCCAACTAAATGAGATCAGCTGGTAATAAAATTCAAGTTTGAGTAAAAGAATCAATATCAACTAGTTACTCTATTGTATAATGTGTTAAACAGTTTTTTTTCATCTTTACAGAAATGACTAAACATCACTTTTTTTTCCCCCCTTGCTTTCTTAGACGTATTGGGGGAAAAAAAAAGCTTGTGAAACATTACAGTGACATTATTTGAATCAATACTCTGTTGTATATGCAGGTGCATATTTTGCATAACTGAACAGTACCAGATCATGTTGTTATCGTTTGGGATTTTTTATATAAATAATACATTTTAATAGACCTTTTATTTTAGGGAACAGCAGTTGATACTGTAAGAAGTCACTAATAGAAAGGTACTGCTAAAGTACACAAATACTAACAAAAGACAGTATCAGAAACTACTGGAACAAGCTCAATGTACATAACAGTGTGAAGGTAATAGTGTTATGGGTGCTCTCTCTAAGAACTGTACAGGATATTCAGCCAAAGTCTGTCACGTAGCAATTTTCACATTGTAAGTGTAGTTTTAAGTGTGAAAGGGAAGAAGTGGATCTTGTAGTATTCTGTCTGTGTCAGGATATAATTTCTCCCAGATGTTGATGACTGCAAAGAAATACTAATCGGTCCAGAATAGTGCAATGCTCAGCATGTCCCAGCCAGGGATCAGGTTAGGAAAGCTAGAGCCCTGATAGAATTAAATATGGTCAGGGATGTTGAGAAGAAAAAGAAAAGCTTCTATAGGTGCACTGGTGATGAAAGGAAAACTAGGGAAAATGTGGGCACTCTCCAGAAGGAGAGACCTGGTTACCCACGATATGGAGAAGGCTGAGGTACTCAACAACTTCTTTTGCCTCAGCCTTCACCAGCAACTGCTCCAGCCACACCACCCGAGTCGCAGAAGGCAAAGGCGGGCACTGGGAGCGCAGTGAAGTGCCTGCTGCAGGAGGAGGTAGGGTTCCAGGCCATCTCAGGAACATGAAGGTGCACAGGTCTGTGGGACCTGCTCAGATCAGGATCAGCCATGGATCCTCAGGGAGCTGGCAGATTAAGTGCCCAAGCTGCTACCCATCACATTTGAGAAGTCATGGCAGTCC